ACTTTAGAAACTTTAGAGAAATTTCTAACCCTATTTTTAACTCTTAATCTTCCAATCTCACCCGGCACTAGATCTGTATCATTCTGACCTAGCACAATAATCCTTTTTTAAAAGGGTTTTCTCCCTCTCTTATGTTTTCATTGCCCTAATTCAGGCCCTGTCTCTTTTCCCAGTTTCCTAAAGTGGCCTTTTCATTCTTCCTTATGACTCTAGTCTCTCCCTCAACAGTCCATCATGAATCATGCTGTTGAGGACTCTTAAAGTACAATTTTCATCTGAGATTCTAAACGCATACTTTTGTTTTCATCTGTTTTTGCATCTTCATCCTCCTCTTCCTCCTCTTCCCTGGTGTCCTTTCTTACCTTCAGAATAATGGTAAGCGTATTAAAGGGTATTTAAAACTCTTTATAATCTGGCCTGTTCAAAAAATACTTTTGCAGACTACACCATTACAGATTACTTCATCAGACTATTCACTACTCCTCAGACTGCTGGAAATGCTTTTTCTTTTCTCTTTCAAATTTCTGTCTGTTGAAACTTACTCATCTTTCAAGCCTCCTCCCAGGTACCATGTCCCCTGTGAACCTCCCTAAGATGTCTCTTGTTGGAATAGTTTTTTACTTTGTATCCTTGAGTACTGCTGCTATAGTGCTTTTATGTCTATTTCGCACCCTTCGTAAGGTGCCTTGTAGCATCCCTGCTTACACTTTTTTTCATCCTCAATAGATTGTGAGCTAAACCCCTTGGGATCAGGAACTAGATCTTGTCTATCTGTGTTTCTTCCTTGAATCTAACTTTGTCATGGAAATTACATTTAATCAGAGAAGACTTGTTGAATTCACTGTATCGTAGAATTTCAGGTAAAGGCTGACCAGTTTTTAGATTCATACAAATAATCGATAGGCTAAGTTTCTTAATGTCTTCCTTAGTTACCAAATTTTGTTAGATCTGTTACCTAAATACACCTCATCTCTTTAGAACTCAACTACTTTTACAAACTTAACTACTTACAATAATGGAGAAACAGTAAAATAAGGTTCATTTAATAGAGCTACAGTTCATCACAAATAGGTTTTACCAGCATACATTCAAGACTGTGTGCTCTGATTTATTAATAATTCTAAGTCGGTATGTCTGGTTTCCACGCCTATAGCAGATAGCTGGAGCAATAAGAGAACCCTAAGTGTACAAATAAAAAACAATGCAATATCAGTTCTTAGCTACCCAAATGAGTCCTGTGATAGCTGAAGACTTATTATATGTCAAAATGGCAAAGTCTTAACATCACATCCTTTGAGAGTCATTAAATGGCCTACGGTGGGAAAAAATTGATGAGGCTATCTTATAACCAAACCCATTGCTATCAAGTCAATTCTGACTCATAATGACCCTTTGGATGGAGTAGAACTGTCCCAGTGGGTTTCCAAGGCTATAAATTTTTACAGAAGCAGACTCCCTCATTTTTCTCCTGCAGAGCAGCTAATGGGTTTGAATCATTGATCATTTGGTTAGTAGCCAAGTGCTTTAACCACTGCACCATGAGGAGGACTCCTCTGGCTATCCTATCAGGAATGAAATATTTCCTATATGTCTAGAAAACTCATTTGGGGTCAGTAAACTTGTATCACCTGTCCTACCCCCACACCCTACCATGTTCATTGATGCATGATAAATACTTTCTCTCCTAGTTTCAGAATACAAAGTTGAAAGACTCACTAATTTTAATTCATCATAGTAGCTTTGCTTAAAAAGTTATGTTTCAAAAAATTATTTCCTTGAAAAGTGTTTGCATTAAAAATGTTAGAAAATTCTTTCTTATGTATTAAAGATGAAGTTAGCCACAAAAGGCTTGATTTTAGTTTATTATGTATAATGACCAAATAAATCATCTGCAAAATAGATTAATAGTATTTATTTTTTCTTGGTGAGAGACATACCCCAAGGGCAACTGGAAATTTGTTCTAAAGAAATTTCATAACATATTCTTTATCCAATTTACCAATCTATAAGAGAGTGAATGTTCTTAAGCCATTCTTTAAAGTCAAGATTTTATGCAGATGTTAACTTAAATTTTTACATGCTTTTTTTCTCTTTCTCTTATAGAGCCTTCCTAATATTCTCACTGATGATCGATTTAAAGTTATGTTTGAGAACCCTGATTTCCAAGTAGATGAAGAGAGTGAAGAATTTAGGCTTTTGAATCCACTTGTTTCGAAAATTAGTGAAAAAAGGAAAAAGAAACTAAGACTTTTAGAACAACAAGAACTTCATGAACAAGTAATGTACTCCTTATTATTTTAAATTAGTACTGTTTCTTTAATACAAAGTTTCTGTGTAAGTGAGGAAAATCTTTGAAGGTACTTATAGTGTAATTTGTTTGACATTTAGTTCAGGAGTATACTTTAATTAAAGACATTTCTTTAGATGTGTGCTAATTAGCAGCTATCATGTTCTCTGATGGACTGATGCTATTTAAAAGAAATTAATCAGCCAGTATTTGGTTGGGGGAAGGGGCTGCTGCTTACTATTTTTATTTTCAGGAAGAGGAGGAAGAACCGGAAGGAAAACCAAGTGATGCAGAAAGTTCTGAGAGTTCAGATGATGAAAAGGACTGGGTTGAAGAGGTCAGGAAACAGCACAGACTTCTCCACCGGGAGGAAAAAATGAAGCAGCAGGAACGAATCAAGGAGGACCAGCAGACAGTACTAAAGCCCCAGTTTTATGAGATCAAAGCAGGAGAAGAATTCAGAAGCTTCAAAGATTCTGCCACAAAACAGAAGCTGATGAAGTAAGTAACACTACTTTCAGTAAAGAGTTGACATGTTGTCAGAGTCCTTGCTTTTTCCAGTTGGCACATTGCCCCAAAGATGACATTTTTTACTTCTGTGAGTAGTAGGGGCCTAAGTGTAGGGAGTGAAGGGGTACAGAAGCAGCAATGCCAAGAGTTAACATGATGGAAGCATCATAGTGGGGCCAGAGGGGACAATGTCATTATTAAAATACACTGGTGTTTAGAATTTTTTTTAAATTGGTTTTTGAGGAATGGTGTGCATATAGTAAAATTCATCAATAAAGATTATAACTCTAAGACTTTTGGTAAATACACACTAGAATACTTTCAAACTGTAAAAACCACACTCTGTTTTGTTGTCCTTGTATTTTCCAGTTGGGTTTCCTAACCTAGGATAAGATATTTGTCTTATGCCCCACAGATCAGTGGTTTGAAACCTTTCAGACAGTGGTAATTAGAAGGTAACAGATTATTTGCCTCTTAACAAAAGTTATTTTTGAAAATTAGGATCTCAATTTTGATTATTCTTGTCTCAACTTACCTGATTATTGCAATGTTCACTTGGAAAATTTGTCAGAAATTTTAAGCTCTTCATAGGAAAATTGTGAGATCAAAAAGAGCGGTATTATTTAAATAATTCCAGTTGTCATGTGACAGGGTGCTCAAGTACAGACAGTATATGAACTATAAATCATAGACTCTGCTTTGAGACTTTCCAGGCAAAGTACTGAATAAAAGATTTTGAAATGTGATAGATTGTCACAAGACAGAAATGTCTTGAAAGAAGACCTGAAGATCTGGGAGCCAAGGAGAGAAGTCAGGAGTTTAAGGAAGAGGGGCCTGGGCAGGGTAGATAAGTACCAGTTGCTGTCAAATCAGTTCCGACTCATGTCAACCCCGTGTGTGTTAGAGTATAACTGTGCTCCATCAGGTTTTCAGTAGCTGGTTTTTTGGAAGTAGATTGCCAGGCCTTTCTTCCAGGGCACCTCTGGGTGGACTCAAATAGCTTGCCTTTCTGATAGCAGCTGAACACGTTAACTGTACCACCCAGGCAGTCCAGATAAGATGATGATGTTGTGTGCTGTTAAGGTGATTCTGTCTCATAGCAACCATATAGGACAGAGTAGGACTGCCTCATAGTGTTTCCTAGGCTGTAATGTTTAGGGGAGTTGGTCTCCAGGTCTTTCCTCCCACAAAGCCACTTGGTGAATTTGAACATTGACCTTTTGGTTGGCAGCTGAGTATTTTAACCATTGCACCACTAGGGCTCCTAGATGAGGTGTAGATCATGGTAAATACAATTTCTCTCCCTTCAGCATTTAAAGGGTGTTGTTGTTATTATGTGCCATCGAGTCAGCCCCGACTCATAGCGACCCCTCCTTGGGTTTCCGAGGCAGTATCACTATGGAAGTAGGATTGCCCAACCTTCCTTCCGAGGAGTGGCTGGTGATTTGCTGAGAAAAAGATGTCCCAGCATCGCCCACCAAAGCATGTGTGTATAGGAGTTGGAGGAAGATGATATTTCAAGTCTACTAGATAGAAAGATTGAAATCTGAGCTGAGGATAAGAGGGAGAGGCCCATTTAAGAAAGGCTACTCAGAAGTGAAGGTGAAAGAAGGTGCAGAGGAAACTAATTAACAGGATGTTTCTTGAATGTATGTATATCTTAACTTTGTTCTGCCACTTTCTGGTAAATATCTGGAGCACCAGATGATGGATGAATCCTTCAATTTAGAATCCAGAGCTCATTCACTGCCGTACTCACTGTACTCATGTACGTTCATGAGTACATGTTTTGAGTCGAATCTCACTCACAGCAACCCCTCCTTAGGTTTCTGAGGCAGTATTTCTACGGAAGTAGATTGCCCAATCTTCCTTCCGAGGAGTGGCTGGTGAGTTTGAACCACCAGCCTTCTGGTTAGCAGTCAGATGCCTTAGGCACTACGCCACCAGAGCTCCCATCTCAAAATTCTGGTTCTGATTAACTAACAAAATGTATATTGGTGAATAAAAGAGCTAGTAATGCTCTTTATATCTTTTGAAGATCTTTTCTTTAGCTACCAACCTCATTTTTTGGTAACAGCTTTATTGAGCTATCATTTGTATAGCATATACTTCACTAATTAAATATAACATACAATTCAGTGGTTTTTCATATATTCACATAATTTTGCAACCATCATAATACTCAATTTTAGAACATTTTCATCACCCCCCCCAAAAAAACCTCATATCCTTTTGCAGTAGTTCTTCCTTTATCCCATCTCCCAGACCTACCTAATGTAGGTCTTAATTAATGTAACCACTAATGTACTTTCTATGTCTCTAGATTTGCTCATTCTGAACATTTTAAATAAATGCAGTCATATATAATATGTGAACTTTTGCAACCACCTTCTTTTGCTTTGTATAAAGTTGCCAAGGATTATCCATGTTGAAGCATGTATTAGTACTTCATTCATTTTTATTTACAAATAATATTTCATTTTATGGTATACCTCATTTTGTTTATCCATTCCATTCTCAGTTAAGGGGCATTTTGGTTGTTTCTATTTTTTGGCCATTATTCATAATGTTATATGAACATTCATGTGTACATTTTTTGTGTGGACATACATTTTCATTTCCTTTGAGTATATTTACCTTGGAGTAGAATCAATGGGTTATATGGTAACTATATTCAACCATTTGAGTAGCTAGCAAACTATTTTCCAGTGCTGCTGCACCATTTTACAATCCCAGCAGCAGTGTGCACAATCTTGCTTTATATACAGCTACTATTGATAAATGTTTTGTTTGGAGGCCTACTCAGAAATAGAGGGAAGACTTCTTGTTTCTAGCATTCTGATTGTGTGAAGTGAATTTATTTGTTAGATTATCTGCTTTTTAGATTATCTGTTTTTGTATTTTATTTAGTTTTACCCTTAGCTCCTAGATCAGTACTTAGAATAGACTACTTAGGAAATGTTTTGGTTACCTAGTGCTGTTCTAACACAAATACTACAGATGGGATGCTTTAACAAACAGGAGTTTATTCTCTTACAGTTTTGGAGGCTAGAAGTCCAAATTCAAAGTGCCAGGCTCTACTAGCTGGGTAAAAGCCCCTCGACCTTGGGCTTCAGCTCTGCCTCTTGCTCCTAGCCCACTGAAGCCAGAGACTTTTCTTCATTCGGGCAGCTACTGGTTGCTGAGGCTGACAAGCCCAAGGTCGACAAATAAAATGGCACAGTCCCGATGTTACCAAACCACATGACAGGACATTGGTTCAAGTCCTGAAAAAGTCCCAACTTCAGCAGGCTGCTGAACGACGACTCAGCTACACACAGGGTTTAAGCATGCCATATACTGGAGACCTTCCCAAACTTGCTTCTTATATACCGGAAGGAGCCCACACATCCTTAAAGCAGCTACTCAGCTGCTCCAGTAGATTCCACCATAGAGTTAATTACCAACCTCACCTGGGGAATAACTACATCCAGCTGCCCAACCAGTCAACCAGGCCCAGCCAAGTTGACATATAACCTTAACTACCGCAGGAAATAACTTGTTGAAAGTGTGAGTCTTCTGTGCCTTGGCTGCACATCTGGTAACTCAGGAAGTAACTTCTTAAAGATCTGCTGAAAAAGCACTCATTTGCCTCATAATTCATTGATCAGGAAAATCTGGGAGAAATTGTTTTTATTGTAACCATGGTAATAGGAGGTGGCAGTCATAACTAATCTCACATTCTTACTTCTGCCTGTGGGTTTAGCAGGATTAATGTTAAAAACAAAAGAGATAAAACTTTAATGTTTTATGAATAAACAAAGGCTAAGTTAAACTTTCATTAAACATTCTTACTAAGTTAAACATTCTTTTTAAGAAGAGGGGTTGTATAAGTAATAATATGTGTATGAGCTTAACAAAAAAATCCTGTTGCTTAAAGTAATAACCTTTTGGTATGAACAGCCTCTACAGTGTTCTAGCATTTTGGCACAAAATGCTTTTTGAATTCCAGTCTTGACTAGATTATTTTGGCAAATCCTGAACTTACTGTATCTTAATTTAATATTACTTAATGAAGCATAGAGCCATTATTCTTCAGAAACCTAAAGTGACTCCTTATGTTTCTTCTGCTAGTTACCACAAGGCAATTAATAAAGAACAGCATCAAAATTGAGTATATTATGTTTAAATGTTCACTTGGACCTTCAGCTTTAAAACTATACAGAAAAACCTGCAAAAGCCAGAACTTGTACAAGGCAGACACCTGTCAAATTGCAAATATTTTCCACTAAAACAAGTGATAGGAAAGTGGTGACTGCACTCTGTCAAAGACAAAGAAAACTTGTGAGACCCAGAAAAACAAGGGAGTCTTACCGTGTTTCAGCTTTCACAGATTTAATTATATATAAAAGGTAAGAGAATAGCAAAAGATAACTCAATACTTGAGTGTTCTTTGCTTGATATAGTAATATCACCTGAGATAAAAACATGTTTGTCAACACATATGTAAATGCCTTATAGGATGCTAACTTTATTTCTGAGTTCATTCATTACCCATTCATCGGTGACTGAAAGCCTAGCGTAAACAAAGTACCACTCCAGATGCTGGAGGTAGAAAGGAAGGGCGCAGCTCACATCCTTGTTGAGTTCACATTCTCGCTGATAGTCTGTGAGTTGGGAAGAGGTATGTGAAAGTGCAGAAGAAAGAAAGAGGTTTATTTTTTGGAGATTTAAGGAAGTCTTTATAAAAGATACTGAAATTGATCTTTTGAAAGATGAAAAGGTGAGCACTAAGAGCATAGTGGTTGAGAGATGGCATTCTAAGCAAAGGCAACAGCATGAACAAAGGAATGTACAAATAAAGTTGGGGAAAATATTTTAATACAGCAAGGCAATAAAGTATGTGAAAGAGAGTAGCTGTAGATGAGGCTTGGAAGGCTGGCCCCAACCTAAGCAGTGAAAAGCCATGGAAGATTTTTAAGCTGAGATTAACATGATCAGATCTATTTCAG